GATTCCCCAGACCCATGATGGCTCTTGTCTGACGGTTCAGGTCCCAGAAATCTCAGGAGACCTTTTCCTGGAGGCACAGCCTCCCACAAAGAAACACCCTTGCTCACCCTAGAACAGCCCGACACAGTCTAGTCAGGGTGAGACTGTCTTTATGAACCTGGCAGGGCCACACAACCTCCCTCAAGAAACAGAAGCCTTCGTGAATGGGTGGGGACAGCATTTTAACTGCCTACTCCAGCCTACATCTGCTATAATCACCAGGCCACTAAAACTAATGGAAGTTGTATTTAGCTAATGAAATAGCCTATGGCCAGATCAAATAGCAATGAAATTCATTAACTTCTCATCTAACGAGGAGGAACACCAAATTGAATTTCATATGCTAATGTTTTCAGAAACAAAGCAAAATCAAACCGCAGGAGGAAAAAAAAATGAGATATTTGAGATTTACCAGCAGAGTGCCAATCTGTCTTCTTGTCACCCTCGCAGCCCACTCTGTGCCTGTCGGTTGTGCTCAGTCACATTCTTTACTGCCAAAGGATCCCACAAATGCTATAAAAGCCTTAGTTTGGGAGTGAGGTGCTGGATCAGCCATAGGTTGCTATCCATCAGCCAGTCACTCGTGGAAAAAGCAGTGTCTCCCCACAGAGGAGGCTGCTGGATGACAGCTCGTGGGCATAACTTGAAGATGCTGTGTTTAGGGTACCAGGAAGATGGAGGGAGGATGTCCTCCAGCATTAGTCATGGTTACCCAGGCACGGCTTATCTTTTACCAGATCCCCACAATTCCCAAGAAGAGAGTTTATCTTCTGGGATGGCCCGGGCACCTGACTGGACTGAGAGTGAGCGCCGTCTGCTCAAGACGAGCAAAGGAAAACTCCGAATCCTAGTCAAGGAGGTCCCCGAGGCAGCCTAGAGGAAGCACAGGGCTCTGGTCCAAAGGGGCAAGGTAGTGCCACCCCCAGCTCCAGTCACACACATGCCCCTCAGGGGAGGGGGTGTGACAGCCTCAGAAGCAGGGCATTTGCCAGCCTATGAGAAGTTCTGAGTCCGTGGGATCCTTCTGTGAATGGAAATGCTATGGTCTTTTTTTCCCCTGCTTGATCTAAATAAAATTCTTACTTTTAAAAACTTTTTGAAAAGCGGCAAAGAGAGTACACAGCTTCTGGACCTCTCCCACCCCCACTGCCTTCTATGTTAATATTTTACAAGATCAGGCCACATGTTCAAAGTCAGCGACAGCTTGCGTATGTCACTACTGAAAGACTCCACACAGCATTAGGCGCCACT